TTTTTTTTCTGTCAACTTAATGTTCTCAATTTTTATCAATTTTAACTGCTACATATTAATATAATTCATAAAGTCAATTCACTTTTTTCTTTTTAAAATCCTTTTAATTATTATTAATATTTACTTTGTTTCTAATTATTCAATGCTAGAATTCATCAATGAATGTTATTATATTTCTTTTCACACATGTATAAAGGTTTCTCTAATCTATTTGTCTGGAAGTAAAATTGAGTAGTGTGGTATTTACTAGACATTGCCAAATTTCTCTTAGAATTAGTTGTATCAACTTATGTTGCTACTAGTTTTATGTGAAAGTTCTTGTGTCACCTTATACAATGCTGCCGTTGTTTGTGCAGTCGAGTCGCCTGCAACTCATAGTGACTCTGTGTATAACAGCCCTAAACCCTGGTCTGTCCTGTGCCAATCTCTTTGTCTCCAACACACCTACTCCTATTGCTACTAAATCAATCCATCTCATCAACTGTCTTCCTCTCCTACCCTGTCCCTCCAGCCTCCCAACCGCGATGTCCCTCTCCAAGAACAAGTCCCTCCTTGCAACATGTCCGAAGTACGTCAGATGAAGCTTCAGAATTCTTGCCTCCAAGGAGCAGCCTGATCTTACCCTCTTTAGAAAGAACCTGTTTGTTGTCTTAGCAGTCCATGGTATATTCAACACTCTTCTCCAACACAACAGCTCAAAGGCATCAATTCTCCTCTATCATCCCTAGTCATTGTCCAGCTTTCTGATGCATAACAAGTAATTGAAAAGATCATGGCCTGGATCAAGCACACCTTGGTCTCTAGACTGACATTGTTGCTCTTCAGTACTTTGGAGAGGTCTCTGACAGCAAACTTTCCCAATGCTGCTGGTACCAAGAATATTGATTGTGGAGCTAAGCAAACTAAATCTGTTAGCAATCTCGACCTCTTCACCATCTATCATGATGCTGCCACTCCATCCAATGGTGAGAATCTTTGTTTTCTTAATGTTGAGCTTCAATCCATATTGGAGGCTGCAGTCCTTCACCTTCTGCAGCAAGTGCTTCAGGTCCTGTTCAGTCTCAGCAAGCAGGGTTGCAGGATCTGCATAATGCAGATTGTTGATGAGTCTACCTCCAATTCTGATGCCACATTTTTCCTCATAGAATCCAGCCTCTCAGATAATATGTCCTGCATATGCTAGTGCCTGATATTGTGGACTTTTACTTTTGGTCAGCCTGAAATGTGTGAAGTTGTATTTTTGTCTTTTAAAATTAAAATTGGTAATACCTCAATATGAAGTGGGTAAGGACTTGTGTTGCCAACCTAAAGTTTGACTCTACTAGTGTCTCTGTGGGAAAAAGATAAACAATCTTTTGTGTGATTTACAGCCTCTGAAAATCTGCTGGAAGTTTAGCTGTGAATTGGTTCTGATTTTACAGCAAAGAATTTGAGTCTTGTTTTAAAAAATTATTTTATGACTCTTTGCTTCCTTCCTTAATTTTATTGGTTATTTAAGTTTTCCTCCTTTGTGTACTGCATGGTTATGACGTATGCCAGTTTTTCAACTTTTTTTAAGGGTGTTGTTCTATTGATTTAAACCTCTATTTAAATTCAGTACTATTCTTACACTACAAATATTGTCACCTGTGGCTTGTATTTCAATGACATTTCATTTGTTTCAATTTATTTTTATAATCTTTCTTGTGAAAAGTTTTAATTGTGATGTTAAAAGTATTGTCAACAGCAATTAATTATAAACAACAAGCACTTGTGGCAGAAGATCAAAGAATGCAACCTTCAGTATGGATTGCATCTCAAAGCCTAGAAAACCAAAATTTTTACCACTGGGCCAATAGGCAACATCATAATAGATGGAGAAAAGATTGAAACTGTCAACCACTTCATCTTACTTGGATCCACAATCAACACCTTTTGTACCAGCAATCGGGAAATCAGGAGAAGTAGTCAGAGACCTCTCCAAATAACTTTGGAACAGTGGTGTCAGTTTGAAGCCTAAGCTGTACCTCACTCAGGCCATGGTCTTTCTGATCATTTGCTATACATCTGTGTGCTGGACAATGAATAAGGAACATAAAAGAAGAATTGATGCCTTTGAGCTGTGGTGTTGGAGAAGTGTACTGAATATCCCATGGGCTGCCAAATGAACAAACATGTATGTCTTGGAGTAAGTGCAGCCAGAGTGCTCCTTGGAGGCAAAGATAATAAAGCTTTATCTCACATACTTCAGGCATCTTTCTAGGCATGTTGGAGAGTGATATGGTGCTTGAAAAGGCAGAAGGCTGGTGAAGGAGAGGAAGACCCTTTAATCAGAAGGATTGGCACTGTGACTTCTACAGTGGGTTCTAGAGTATCAGGAAGTGTGAGGATGAGTTATTTATAGAATCACTATGGGTCATACTCAACTTGAAAGCACCAAAGAAACCCACAAAAATAAGTATCATCAATCTTTTTAAAAATTTTTTTATTTTAAGGTTTAAATCTAATTTTTGTGTGTCTTGTCTGGGAAATTCTTCTCAGTGGCCTTGGAAAGTTTTAAATTTTGTCTTTTCTATTAGGGCTTTAGTCAATGGGAAGTTAGGCTGTATGATTGATTATATTAATTTTTTTTAGACAAGTACTCAATAATTGCTGTGTCATTATTGTGTGCCCAAGTCGGAACCGATTCTGCTGACTTTCCTGTGGGTTTTAGAGGCAGTAAAGCATGCAGGATCAGATTGTCCTTCCTTCTCCCTCAGAGCAACTGATGGGTTCGAATTACATGACTTTGGAATTGCAATTCAGCTTCTTATGAATATGCCACCAGCTCAGATTCATTAATAAGTTGTGTTGCTGTTGTTATTTGCAGTTGAGCTGACCATGATTCATAGTGATCCTATGCACAAAAGCTCTGAACCCAGCTCTATCCTGGGCCAAGCTCACTGTGTGTGACACACCAACCCCCATTACCTCCAGTTACTATGTCAATCCATCTCATCCAGGGTCTTCCTTTCATGCACTGTCCCTCCACTCTTCCAAGCATGAGGTTCTTCTCCAAGGCCTGGTCCCTCCTAACAACAAGCCTTTAGTATATGAGACAGATTCTCAAAATCTTTGCTTCTAAAAAAATTAAAAAAAAAAAAAATCCTTGCCTCTAAAGAATACCTTGACTTCAAGTTTCACATACACATAATCAGATGTTCTGGGATTCTCATTGTTCTCAAGGTTAGCCACAGTTTATTGTGATCCACAAAGTTAAATGCCTTTGCATAGTTAATGAAACACAGACATTCCGGTAGTGCTCTCTGCTCTCAGCCCAAATCCATCTGACTTTTGCAATGCTATTCCTAGTACCATGGTATCTTCTAAACTATTAAAATCGTTTTAGGATAATCTTCAACAGGATTTTACCTGTTTGTACTATTAGTGATATTGTTCGATTATTTCCACACTGTCAGGTGACTTTTTTTTTTTAAATGGGATTAAATGTGGATCTCTTCCCAGTCAGTTGGCCAGGTCCTCCTGATTTCTTGGCACAGCCTGGTGAGCATGTCCCAGGCCTGCATCTGTTTGTTGAACTATGTTAGTTTGTATTCCATCAATTGCTGGGGCCTTGGTTTTTTTCCCAATTCCTTCAGAGCAGCTTGAGCTTCCTCATTTATTACCATTGCCTCTTGTTTATAAGTTGTTTTATTAAATTCTTCTGTGTCAGCCTTTTTTTTTTTGTACATTGACTCTGTACTCCTTCCATCTCTTTCAATGCTTTCTGGACTGTTCAATATTCAGCCCATATCATCCTTCAGTATTGCAATTCGAAGCTTGAATTTGTTATTCAATTCCTTGAGTTTAAAAAATACTGAGCAAGTTCATCCTTTTTAATTTTCTGACTTCAGGTCATTGTACAATTACTTTATTTATACTTTGTTTTCCTAAGCTCATGTATTCACTTTCCGTGTCATAGTTCTGTAGTGCGAAGGATAAAGAGAGAAGGCGGAAGTGACACCAAGAAGGTATTTCCCAGGCAGAAGTACCTTTTTCTTATCAGCCTCTTACATAAGTAAATTCCTCCTAAACATGCAAATCATTCCATTTTATGGCAGGGATTGGGTAATGATGAGAATGGGGAAAGAAGGGAATTCCTCTCTGTTGAGTCACACTTTTAATTAGTCATGCTTTGCTGTGAATTATAGGAATCTTTTGATTGGAAATATTTGCTTTCTAGAAGTTAGCTGTGATAAAGGCTCCTGTAGGGAGTGGAGGGATCGTGGTGGTTAGTTTCGAGCATCACCTGGTGCAGGTTGTGTAGGACTCCTTCTTCAGAATTTGCTTTGAGAGGACAGTAGAAGACCATTCAGACTGACTGCAGGTGTTAATAAGGAATGTGGTAGCCTGCTTCAGCCAAATTCCTATTTAGCACTTTTACTCTGGAGATTCCTAGCGTGGTTTGTTGAGTGGTACATACAGTTAATATGCTTGGCTGGTAGCCAAAAGTTTTGGCAAGTTAAATCTACCCAGAGGCAGTCAAGTAAGGCCTGGCAATCTGCCTCTGAGAATGTAGCCACTGTAAATACTGTAAGCACAATTCTTTTCTGACACACATGGGGTCACTAAAAGTCAGAATTGACTCTATGCATTAAATAAACTTTTGTTGGTTGAAAGAATTTTTCTTTTACTTTTCAAAGAGAAGAGTGAAATTAGGGAGGAGGGGTGGAAGGGGAGAAAAAGGCAACAATGAATGAATGGAAATCCAAATTATCTGTAAATGTTCATTAAAATTAATAATTATAAAAACCAAAAAAACTTTTGTTAAAATCACAATTAAATTTAAAACTTTTGTTAAAAACAACAACCAGAAATTGTAGATATCCTGGGAAAGAATCTCAAATGTCAAAAACTTGTTTTAATGCATATGGTTGCTTGGGTAAAATATCAAACATTGCTTATGATACTAGGAATTTTTTAGATACTTAAAAAAATGATGACTGTTGGTTTATTAATTAAAGTATCTCTCTCTATTTTAGGTGGTTCTTTGGAGCAATCAAAAGAACAGATGCTGAGAAACAACTATTGTATTCAGAAAATCGGACAGGTGCTTTTCTTATCAGAGAAAGTGAAAGTCAGAAAGGCGATTTCTCCCTTTCAGGTACAGGCACTGTTTTGTGTGACATGAGTATGTGTGTGTGTGTGTCTACAGTTATGAACCTACTTTGGGAACATGGAAATTTTAATTTTAAAATTGTCTCATTCTCTGTCTTATAAGACCAAAAGGATATATATCTAAAAGGTATTATAAAAATAAGCAAAATATCTCTATCTCAGGCTAGAAGTTCCTATAAAAATTTCAAATACTTGGAAATGATGAATCTAGAAGCATTTTCTTACATATGTATTGTTTTTAGAAACTTTTTGAGATGATAACCAAAAGACAAGTTGTTGTCCAAGTTAATCTTGCCACAATTAATCCATTCACTTATTTTTTTTTCTTTTAATTTCATTTATCTTTGCCTTGTAAATAGAAAATGAGTTGAAGTGCTGAATGCAAATGTTTTTAATTAACCTTTTGACATGTAAAATTTGCTTAAATGGGTTTTTCAGCAGCATGAGTCAAGCACATATTTACCCAAGGAAAACATACCTTAGGGAAAAACAGCACAGGGAAACTGAGAAATATCTTCTGGAGTTATGTGTGCTTAAGTACATGCCTTTACTTTTTAAAAAAAAAAATCTACATTTTAATGATTATAATGCCGAATAATATATTTTCTTAAATATTCCACTGCAAGCCATCACCAATAAGAGATTTTATTTCTCTTACCCCATCTCTTACATACTTTAGACATGATGACAAAGAGGGGCCAGTCCTTGGAGTGCTTGGGATGGTGGAGGGACAGTGCAAGAGAGGAAGACCCTCGATGAAATGGATTGACTCAGTCACTGGGGTAAAGGGGGTAGGTGTGTCAGAGAAAATAAGGTTGCCACAGGATAGTGCAGGGTTCAGAGCTGTTGTATATAGGGTTGCTATGAGTTGCAAGTGACTTAAGGGGACATAACAACAATAACAACAGCAACAACAGCAACCCCACCAGTATTATTATTTATGCCTATCATAGATATTATTTTTCCTTTAAAGCAAGTATTGTATCTCCTCAACTCTATGTAAACCTTTTAGGGAAATAGATTATGCTTGCATTTTATCCTTGTTGTCTTACAGTACATGTTTACTGAATATCTTTCCAATAGATGCCTGTGTCCCAGCAGCCTGTATGGCTTGGTATTGGGAGCAGCCCCTGAGCCTCCATGTACTGGGAACATTTCCGGGCCTGAACTCAGACCAAGTTGTATTTATGTTTGGCTCCCATCATCCTTCCTCACAGCCAGTGGCTCCAAATATTGGAGCAGATGGATTGGAGCTGGAGCGAGAGTCAAGAGCAGTGGTGTTGAGGCAGATTTTTCAGAGGGGGAAAAGGGTCTAGATTCCAGTTCCTGATTGTTCTGGCACTTATGAAATGTGATGTTCCAAAATCATGTTGACTCAACTCCATTCCTACCTGCTTCCACAGACAAAAGTTTCGAAAATCTCCTTGTGCTTACCATTCATGAAATGTGCCTGGCAGGATATTTCATGGACACTTCTAAAATTGTTCACACCAAGGTGATGTTCAAAATATTGAATTACTGATGAGTGGGCACAAGCCATCTATATACCCCCCAAGACAGGGAATTCATACCAGTGCACACCTGTGTAGCCTAGGTAACAGAACTGAATGGCTCATTTTATGCAATAACATTTTTATTATAAAATATTATAAAGATTTAGAAAACAGAAGTCAAAGGAGAATAATCAAGGCTATCACCTTCTAAAAATACTTTGTTAATAAGAAAATTCCTTGTTTATAAGCCTTCTACTCTGCTTGGTCTGTAGGTATATTTACCTGCATATTAAGTATTCACACAGAGAATAAATAAAATTTTTATACTCTTATGTGCCTATATCAGTAGAGCTCTGGTGGGATATTTCTTAGTATATTGTCATGCTAATCAAAATGCTGTGTATCTCCTGTGGTTCAAATCCAACAGTGGCTCTAAGGGAGAAAGATGAGTGATCTCCTGCCATTAAGATTTATAGCCTTGGAAATCTGATGGAGAATCAGTTGAAATAGACTTTATAGCTATGGGTTATAACTATATCTGATTTTATAATTTGTTCTGCTTATTAGCAGATGAGTTATAAGAAGTCTTGAGTTAACATAACCCCAAATGCTTAATGTGCTGTATAATTCCATGATTTCTAACATCAACATTTCCTCCTCAGTTCAGTCCCCCAGCTCCTATATGTCCCTTGGGTTTGATGGTTGACTGGAAGGTCCTCCAGAGCCTCAGATCTGTCAGGAGAATGACACACACTACTGAAGATATGTAGGCCAATTTTTCAGACACTAGTGAGCAATGAGGCAGGCTGGGTGTAGCTGAATGCTTAGTCTACAGTATAAGATTTCTCAGACCAGACAACTTCTCATCCTCCAGCAGGCTTGCGTTAAGTCAACAAATCATCTGTTGCTCCTGTGTTGGTGTCTTCACACACTCTCACAGTGTGGAAAGCACTCTATTATATATATGGCCCCACAGCTGTTGATAATTTGCAAGACCATGTGTTCATAGTTAAGGTAGCTGGAGATCATTTCCTCGAATAGGCTAACACAATTGATGCTATTGTTGTGTGCGATGGAATAGTCAGAACTGAAGAAAAGCCAATTTTTAAAGTTATTTACAGACACCACAGCATCTCTCTATCTAATGACCATTTGTTTTATTTTTCTGATACATTATTCACATTTTTCTTCACACTGTAAAATTCCTAAATTCTTTATGGAAATCATAACTTTTGTACATTTTCAATTATTTTCCTATTACAGTAATGATACATGAAGATCTTTGCAGATAAATACTTGCATATTTGAAGTATTTCATAGAAATATTATATTGCAAGATGGAAAAAATGCTTACAATAACTGTGCTAATGATGGCAGAGGATAACTGTAAGAACATTCCTTGCTTAAATGCATCTGTGTTATTTATCAAATAGTCATTATTTAGCCATAAACTAGATTAAAAGCTAAAAATTGTAATTAAACATATAGAAACACTTCTTGATCCAGATTGTTAATTGTCAAACATATAATTCCTAATCATACATTTCTTTCGGATTGTCCTTTCATTCATTGTTCCAGGGCAGTGTTCATTATTTAGTCACTTTTTCCTGTTCTCCTATCTGTATCAATTCTATCATATAATAGTGGTCTTATGCAGTCTTTTTTTCTTTTTTTGCTGAGATAATTCACTCAGCACCGTGTCTTCCAGACTCATCTATGTTGTGTAGGTTTTACACGTTCATTGTTTATCACTGCTGTATAGTATTCCTTTGTGAGAATGGACCACAATTTTTCTATCCATTCTTTTGTTGATGAGTACTTGGGCTGCTCTTCACTGTCATAAATAATGCTGCCATAAACATGGATTTGAATACATTTTGTGTCACAGCTCTGATTTCTTTACGATATAGTCATACGGCATTTCTAACTTTTTGAGAAAGCACCAGACCAACTTCCATAGTGTTTATACCATTTTACTGTCCCACCCACAGTAATGAAAGCTGAATCGCTCTACACCCTCACCAGCATTTCTTGTTTCATGCCCTGTTGAACTTCACCATTGTTTTGAGTTTCATCTCTTCTGGTAGCCAGGGATTTGAACATTTCTTCATGTGTTTCTTGGCCATCTGAATTTATTCTTTGGTGAAGTATGTGGTGTCTATTTTGTGATTGGTTTTTTGACTTTTTTTCTTGTTGAGGTGCTGGGGTATTCTATGCATTTTAGATATGAGTCCCTTCTAGACATATTACTACCAATTATTTTTTCCTGGTCCAGTTTCCAGTTTCCTTTTTGTCCTATTGGATAAGTTTTTTTCATATGCATAGGCATTTGAATTCTAGACGGTCCCATTCATCATCTTCTGGTATGGTTAAGCATTATATGAATGTCAATTAACAATCTGAAACAAGAAGTACATTACAAAGTGGATCATGAGAGGGGGAAGAAGGAAGATGGAGGGAAATGTGCATCAGTGATTAAGTGAAAACCTAATCATTTTGTAAACTTTCATTAAAATAAAAAAAATTACAATTAAAACTATGGAAGTGCTAATGTTGTGGTAGCCTAGTGATAAGAAACTGCATCACAATCCCAAAGGCAAATGGTTTGAATCCACCAACTGCTCCATTGAACAAGGATGGACAATCTCCTCCTGTGTGATTTCTTGCATCTGAAAACTTGCTGGAGGGTCAGCTATGGCTTGGTTCAGACTTGATGTCACAAAACAAACAAAAATAAGGCTTTCAAAAGGGAAAACAGAAAGTAGAATTACCTGTGTCATCTCTTTTAATATTGCTAAGGCTACAGTGATTTTTTTTTTTGGAACGCATCTAAGTACAACATTATGGAACAAAACAACTTTACAGGCTTAAATCAGAATTACAGGGATTTTGCCTGTGAATATGCTGGTGCTTGCTTCTGGATTTAGGGAGCTTATGTAGGACTTGCTTAGAGACCTGCATATCATCATGGATTCTTTTTCAATGAAGTCAAACAATTTAGAGTCTTTCAAACAAATTATCTGATTGCTGTGTATTCGCTGGGGGAGAGAGAGGAAATGCATATCATTTATGTTCTCCTGAAAGGAAAATTATCTTATTAGCCAGAGAGAAGGCTGGAAGGAGAAAAATGGAAAGAAAAAGTTCTCCAATAAATCTACATTAGAACAAACAAACAAACAACAGAATTGCTGACTGTTGATTACGACTGAGGATCCTCAGACATACTGCACATGGATTTATGTCTTTGTGCAGTTGTCTACTTAATCAGTCAGAATGGATGGTCTTCTGTTTTGCTGACTGCTGTGTTGCTGAAAGGAGCCAGCTAATATCCCTTTTCTATCTCTGTCTTTCCCACGTGAATTTTCCTGAGAAGCATTGTCTTTATTCCTTGGGCAGAATGGCTTTTGGCTGTCACGGAAGAGCTTCAAGAGGCAGCATGATTTATTGATGCTGTGGCAGGCTCTGGGAAGTAGCAGCCCAAGATTGGGGTGGG